GAGGAGGAGGAGGAGGAGGAGGAGGAGGAGGAGGAGAAGGAAAGGAGGGGGAGGGGGAGGAGGATTGGGGAGGGAGGAGATGCGATCTAGAGGAGTCTGACGTGTAAGCAGGGATGCTTTCGGCTGAACGAAGGCCTTGAGAGAGCATGTCGCAGATATCTGTGAGAAGACGTGAGACGCGAGGACAAGGTTGAATAAGAGAAGGGGGGAAGAGGTTGGGGAGAGGACGTAGGGTGAGCAAGCAATAAGGATCAAAGCTCTAGACTTAAAGAGGTGGGGAGAGGACGTAGGGTGAGCAAGCAATAAGGATCAAAGCTCTAGACTTAAAGAGGTGGGGAGAGGACGTAGGGTGAGCAAGCAATAAGGATCAAAGCTCTAGACTTAAAGAGGTGGGGAGAGGACGTAGGGTGAGCAAGCAATAAGGATCAAAGCTCTAGACTTAAAGAGGTGGGAGAGGAGGAGGAGAGGAGTGAGAGGGGGAGCTAAAGGCTGGTGACCTCGAGCAGTCTTGCCGCTCTTGATAAGCGATGTAGGTGACATCTGAAGGTTCATGATGTTCTTCTCTACCTGTGCATTCCCGTCACCTTGTTTGCGGAGCAGAGGAACCAAGAGAGAGAGGGAGAGAGGGAGAGAGGGAGTGGTAGAGAAGGAGGGAGGAGGGGGACAGAGTAGAGCAGGAGAGCAGTAGAGTGAGACAGAAGAAGGGCAGGAGGTCGATAGCTCACAATGGATATGGTCTCGTCTGATGCCCCGGGCAGCATCTGAACCAGCCATCCACCCGCTACCACCACTCCCTCCGTCTCCGTCTCCACCAGCACGCCAGCTCCGAGCGCGCAAGGCGTCTGCTCGCTCTCTGTGAGGTAGTTGGCCATGTCTTCGGCAATCTCCCCGGACACGATGGAAGTGATACCGTTGTACGGCTGCTTCCAGAACGGATTGTTGCGCACAACAGTAATGAAGCCCTTGCCTACCGCCCTCGACACGTCAAGTTTTCCCTTGTCGTTGGGAGGCAGCAAGACGAAGGGATTAGCTGTGTACCCTCTCACCTCCCCTGCACCATCAGCGATGGCGAACACCTGCTTGATGGGTCCATCGCCCCTGATGTCAATCTGTAGCGTCTCCTTCGCCTGATCTCCGTACATCTCCGCGTCCTTCTTCCCCTGCGCCATCAGCAGGGCACAGATCATTGTCCTCCCCAGCGCTGCGGAGCAGACAGGAGAAGTCTTCTGCATGCCACAGGCGCCACGGACGAGGCCAGTGGCGACGACGGCCTTGAAAGAAACCTCTCCGTTGTCTGAGAGCATGCCTACCAGCTCGTCACCCTCCACAGGCTTCAGCATGAACCCGTAACTGTCATCCTGCATCCTCAATCTTGCTTGCCTTCTCGTGCTCACCACCGAACACCGTCTGCTTCCCGCCCGAGCCAGTGGTCGAGCCTGGGACAGCGTTCCCACGAACCTCAGGGACGGTGCAAACCCAGTGCTAAACGCTTGCGCGCCCCGCACCTCGAGGAGGAGCAAGAGGAGAGTAGCCAGGGACTTCATCATCTGCGATAAGAATGAGATCATAGTACCCCTCTCCCTCTCCCTCTATTCTCATCAGGCGCTCAATTCTGTAAACCCCTCCTTGCTCCCCCATACATCTCAAGAATGGTTCTGTAAGATTGTCTCATTCCTCGCAAACTCTTTCCCCGCTCTCCATCCCGCCGTCTCTCCGTCCCTGCCTGCCTCGCTCCATCCGTCCGTCCGTCCGTCCGTCCGTCCGTCCGTCCCTCGCTCGCTCGCTCCCTCGCTCGCTCCCCCTCCCTCGCTCCCTCCTCGCTCCCTCGCTCCCCT